CCTACGTTAGTAATGTATGGTGTCGATCCATACATGATTCCTCAAATCTAGAAAGAATGATGTGTTATCTAGACGTCTAGATAACACATCGTTTTAACACATCATTAAATATATATATATATATATAGAGAGAGAGGGAGAGAGATAGATATATGCACTTTGGAAGGTCTTTGTTTTTCCTTTAAACGTATGATATATTTTTTTAGGCCATGAAAAAATTTATTCCTTCTTGATCAGCACATGAGCTAGTGCGGTAAAATTAAAAAAAAAAAATGAGAAGAAGAATAGTTCTTTGACTGATCACCCCCAACTATTCTGCTTCTCATTATTCACGACAGTCAACTATTTAACCACTATTAAAAAAAAAATGATTAAAAAAGAACATATGCGAATGTAAATAAAGTAAAATGTATCACAAAATGAAGAATAATAGCATCTTTTGAATAAAAGAATAATATTCTGAGTATATCATGAGGGTTTATTCCAGCATGCTTAAGGGTTGGTACAAAAATACCAACCATATAACTCAAGTATGCCAATCTGTCGTGGAATTATTTAAAGGAAATTTTTTTTTTTATTAATTAATGAAGTACATTAAAGGACTTATGATGACAATGAATGATATGAAAAATGTATTGATATTATTTATATTTAAATGAGTTGCAAACACAACCTAATGACTACCTCACTGATAATTTCAAATTTATGATACAGCTCCGTTATTTTTGAAACTGGTTTAAACGAAAGTCACTGCTGTGATTCAGCCAGTATCATATCGCCTGTGTATATACAGCGACATCTATTTTGCGTATTCAAATAAACATTAGTCCCTCTATACAAAATAATAATAAATATAAATCATATATATATATTGATGTAGAGATGGTTGAACGTTAATATAATATGAGAAGGAGTTAGTCGAGGGTGCGGTCAAATAAATAAAAAAATTAAAATTAAAATTAAAACAGTTTCAGGCAAAAATTAAAATAATTTATATATTTCAATTTTTTTATTTATGGCAAAAATTAAAATAATTTATATATTTTATTTTTTTTATTTATTTGACCGCACCCTCGACTAACTCCTTCTCATATATATATATATATATATATATATATATATAATATATATATATATATATATATATATATATATATATATATATATATATATATATATATATATATACTACTGAGGTTTCCCCTGTCCGGAGTTGTGTATTTGGCCTCTCTACGCATCTATGTGGATATTAAATAAAAAAAACAAAAACATTATTATCGACATATTATCAACAAAGAATTTGCAATTTTGTATGTATAATGATATATGATAAGGTTATCAATATTATTCAGACAGTTAAAAAAACCTATTACGATTGTATAAATGACTATCACAGAAAATACTGGTTAGATTCAGTATTTTTATTTCATATCGATGCCTTACATCTAAAATCTTCTACATCCATCATAAAAACAAATTGTATACATGTTAATATTAAGCTACATCTCTATTAGCTGTTAGAACTATTCAAACTTCTTTTTCTTCCTTATTTATTTTTTGAAAAATCTCTGATATTGTTATAATCCTTACACGTAAGTATTAAAAAAATGAGAGGACATTTATTTAACTACAAGACTTTATTGGCGTAGTGAATCGGATTTTCAAGGTGTTAGAATCAAATCTTTCTATTATATAAAGTTTTCAGTGACCGCGTCAAATTTTATTTTACATATAAAAAGCAGGACCGTAACGTAGACACCTTTTTATTTTCAGAACTATTTTTCCTTTATTATGGTTATACATTGGCAATAAGAATAATTATAAAATAATATAAATTAGCAATAAGGCACGATATATATAATAAACTAAAAACTTGTCCGATTTTGGTTTCGTTCTGTTATTTTATGTTGATAAAAAAAAACAAAAAAACAATCTGAACTACAGAATAAATGTAAATTATAATTATACAATTTGTTCAATGTGTGGTACAATTAAATGAACAGTTTCACTTGCCCCCCTAGTTTCTTAAGAGAAAATATCTATAGTTATATTGTTTTTACTTATATATGTATATCCTTATTTCTCATATATATTTTTTTTTCTGCATTTATTATTTATTGAAATTTAATTTATTATTTATTATTTATTACAATCTGTCTCTAGGACATTTATAATAGAGCTCACAGATCACATTCACACTCTATGTATAATAAATAAAATAAATTATACAGAAAAATAATATATATACAATAAATAAGAATAAAATAATATAAAAATAAATTAATAAAAAGAACACAATATTTACAATTTGGCGAGAAAACTCCAAACCAGACTTGTCCCACCAACTGTGGAGGGAAAAGTATGACTCCAGGAGTTCCCTGCACTCCTCTCTCAACCGCGTCACTAGGGCTAAACCCAGTGGAGATTGAGCAAGAGTGCTTTAGCCACATACACTCATGTCGTGAGTGGAGAATCTGGCCATTGCCAGAACTCCAATATTTACAAACTATAAAAGATCACGGATCCACTGCCGTTTTAACCTCCTTGGAGGATTATAGGGATGGGTGGTGCTGGATAGAGATTGTGCAAGAGTATTTGGGTGGTACGTAAGGTTTTGGTGAAATTTTTAGAATTTTTATGGGATAAGGTCTAAGACAAATGGGATGTTGAGGTCATGATGTAGGGTTTTGTTGGTTATATAGAAAGTAGCATCGACTATTGTTCGAAGGACTTTTGACTGGAAGGATTGGATGCGCTTGATGTTATAAAATTTTGCTGATCCCAGTTCTAGTCCGTAAGTCCAAATAGGTTTCAGTTTTGTCTTGTTGATCAGTAGCTTGTTTTCAATGGAAAGTTTAGATAGATGAAAAAAACGAATTTTTTTTTTATTTTTTTCAAAACTTGTACTGAAGTACTTTACTGCGAAATAACGAAGTAGATGCATAACTAAGAAATAAAAAACAAGGGAGTCAAAAGCTCGCTATAATTTAACAATAATTCCTGAACACTTCCGAAGTAAAATATAAATAAAAAAAAGTGTCTTGTTAAATTGGAAGCGTCATTTATGGTGGTCCATTAATATTATAAACTAATGTTATATTAGCAATAATAAGCTCTATATTAAATATATTAAGATAGACAGGCCGGGAATGTGGAAGACGTGACTCGGTTAGGTTGGCAGCAGTGAGAGTGGCCCCCTCCTTGCTTGGCCTGAGAGCCGGCCTCAGTGTGCTCTAGTGTTTGTCGTAGTGAGCTGTAAATTTTTTCTCTGTGTTTTTGTGTAATATTGTTGTGTCTGTGCGCTAATAGTTCGCTATCTGAGTGAGGTATACCAGGGTTTATAATGAAAACAGGAGTGCAACGGATAATCTTCAAGCAAAAATCAGATATTTATTATATTTTGTTAATATATTAAATTTATTGTTGAGCCATTTTATGTTATTTAATTTATAGTACATTAATCCAGAATGTACATGAAATCACATCAGTACATATTATTGACTGCTAGCAATGTGCATTAATAATACGTTTAAATTCCTTTCTGACTTTTCCTGTGTTAGAAAATTAATTAGTTTTATTAAATTTATAATTTACTCAAAGATAGGATAATATTAAGATCTTAGGAATTAAATAAAAATTATTTCCATTTTTGAACTCAAAACATTTTTTATTTGGTACACGCCATTTGACTTAATGTCAATTGAGTCCATCTGATGGTCACTATGAATAGATTAGGCTCACATCCATTACTATTTTTAAATAGAGCCTTGAGTAGTCTATATTATGTTTACTAAATTAAAATAAAGTGTGTATATAGAATGAAAAAATAAATTTTATTCTGGGACTAAGTCTCATAACAATAACAATGGTGTATAAACAAATAAATAGTAAATAACCATAAAACCTATTACAATAGATGAATAACTAAAATATAAGTATAGTTATCAAATGGATATTAAAAGAGCAGATGAGCAATTGTGTAAAAATATATATCTGCTCCTAAACAAAATATATAAGTCAGAAGAGGAACGCTAAATTAAGTTATAAGCAAAACATCTTTGTTAGCAATATATATATATATATGTATATATTACATGTCCAATCCATTGCTAACAAGTTTATCTTTGGTGTTTTTGAAGTTCATGATATAGCAATAACTTATTGTTTACAATCATATATCTATAGTAGTTGCATTAATTTCTTATAACAATATTGATTAGCATAGAATCGAGAAAACCACTTAAAAGGCAAAATATTGAATTTATAATTTAAATAATATGAATAAATCGGTACGAAAATAAATGAAAACGTCCTCATGAGGAATATATTCCATGAAATATTTTTTTAAAATTTTTCTGATTTTGTCTCGATGTCAACCATCATTTTGAATAGACTTTTAATAATTCAAAAGCATTGGTTCAGAACAATTTTTTAGTAACGATTTAAATTATATGAGAAGATTAGATGGTATTATAACTTTAAAAATACATGATATTATCATGAGTTTCAACTCTTCAGGCCTTTTTCTAAAGAGGAAAAATCATTTAAAATTTATTGCACCCGTTTTAATTTTAAAATAAGTTTTTTTCTTTTTAAAATGGGTAATGTGCTAAATGTCGGTAAATGAGAAAAATGATATAAGAACTGATGAATCAATTGTGAATTTTTTTTATAAGCCATATTATAATATTAATGTATTCAGTTTTGCCAAGCGTATATTATGCTCTAATTTGACACAACTTAGAAATTGTATATTGGATTGTATATGTTCTAATAATATTTATAAATGAAATAAAATTTTATTTACCTTTATAGTTAATCAATTACCTCGCAGCCGTTGATTCTGTAATTAGCTTTTCTGGTTCATTGACACGTTTACATAGATACGATATGCAGTCAAAATATACCGGCCTCGTACTAAATTATTTTAACTAAATATTTTTTAATAATAAATTAATAAAACATGTAATAACAATATCGACTTCTTGACCGTGTCTAATATGTGTGAGGTTAATGCTATCAACGTAAGATTGTTGACAACCGTGTCAGAGCAACTGGAAAATGTTACGGACCCGTGGAAAGATCTTCCTCAGCACTACCAGCATCGTCCGATCCGACCAGTAGAAGAAATCTAGTTCCTCTTTTTTTTTTTTATAAATATCTATTTTAGTAACTTATGCAACATAAAATTTATTAAATTCTTTAGACTGATAAATTGTTTTCGATATAATCAGTCTTTGGCTTTAAGGTAAATATGTATTTTTTTATTATCAAGATCCGCCTATGTATACTGCATCAGCTTCCATACTTGCTCGAGAATCCAGTGTAATATTTCATTATCGAGACGAGATGGCCGACTGTCAAAATATTCGACTAAACAGGTTTGGTCACTCACTCTTTTTCGCATTCTTCCTGATATTCGCTAGGTACATTCGAATAGTCGTAGTGTGAATTACGCAGAATACTAATGTTGGCATTTCTATTCACATATACTACTACTATAAACGTAAATTAACTTTTAATTTTTAAACGTTTAATATTAATGACTTTTCTGCGAAAATTCAAATTTAGTCTGTAGAATTCTGTCAGATTTGCAAGAGTCTCTTTAGTAATTGCTTTGTTTTTTTGTTTTATTGAGTAACATAACATTCTATCACATGGGCAACGGTTATAGTCATTAAAAAGTACATTATACCATATATACAAAAAATATAAATGGAATAAAACATATGATAAACGACAACTAAATAACAATTAAAGCTTATCAAAAAATTAAATAACTTAAAGATAAGCAAATTAAAAAAACAATAAAACAGACATAACTATATACTCTATTTACAATAAGGCGGGGGAACTCTTAACTATGCTTGTCCTTCAAACTATGGAGGGAAAACCAGCAATCCAGGAAATCCCTCCGTTACTCTCTCAACCGCTTCCCTGGTACTAAAGCCAGTGGAGATTGAGCGAGAGGTCTTCAATTGTAATTATTGGTATATTTTTAATGGCTAATAGCTATGCACTAAATGATCAATACATATATTTTTTCTTTGTCCTTTAATTTGATACCATAATTATTTATTAAGCTTGAACTTTTTATTTAAAAAAAATTCGTGGATGTTCAAAAATAGAAAAAAACATTCAAGAGATCATTTAAGCTCGATTGTTATGTATTTTATTGTAAAATTTATCGGGAAGTTACTTTTAAAATTAGTTCTGTACTGAGGGAAGGTCGGACTTATAATAAGAGAACGTTAATATTTTTGAAGACAATTTTTAATTCATACTGTACTATTTACTATACTGTGTTTAGGATCCCCATATGTAGAAGAAAAAATAAAAAGAAAAAAATGGACTCACTGAGGGAGCTGTTGCAAGCTTCCTTTTATTTTTAAGGAACTTATGGGCTAGAAACGAAAGATAGTTTTTGTAATACGTCACTGTTCCGAAACATAATTTGGAGAATAGAATCCCCCTATAAATATTCCTAGGTTATAAATAGTCAACACGCAGTCATTTTAAGATTTTTATTGTAGGTGCCGAGGTTTCAACCCAAGCATGTGGGTCTTCATCAGTACATGTTTCCGGTACTGAAGATGCTCAAGTATTGAGTACTTTCAATATTGTAATATTTCAATATTTCAATATTGTGCAACATTTACGTATTACAAAAAATACGTTTCTAGCCCATAAGTTCCTTAAAAAAAAATAAATCTTTTAGAGTTCCCTCAGTGATTCCGTTTTTTTCTTCTACTTATGAGGATTCTAAACATAGTATAGGAAATAGTACTGTGATGAAGAACTGTCAACTGACTAAATTCCTTCAATAATTATAAATTTTTTCATAAAATTAATTGGAATTTTGTATAAAATTCTCGAGTTCTTGAATAATACCTTTTCTACTCCAGACATGTTCTTGATATTCTATGATCCCATTGTTATGTGTTGTCCGTTATAAATTAATTATTAAATTTGTCATTATAGTTTATCTTGTTGCTCGTTGTATTTTGTTTGTTTTCTTATTATATAATACATGAAAAGCGAAATGAAGAAAACTTTTCTGTACATCAATTTTATTACGAAAACAGATGTATTAAAATTATATCAGTTCAAAGTTTCGGTATATATTTTATTCTATATTGTTTCCTTTACATTAAATATGTGTCGGCCGTTATGCAATATCATACAATATCCTAATATTCTAATTTTACTCTGTCGATTAAATTTTAATATAAAAAAAAACTTTTCCTAGCTCTGATGAAGGCCTTAACTTTGGGCCGGCACGTCTGCAAAAATAAATATAAATAACATTTATTTATTTTTACTTTGTTTTTTGATTGAACATCCCTACCAACTTCTCTTTAATTTTTCTCTACAGTCAGCTATCAATTCACATTTATAAAAAAAAAAAACATTGGGATATATCTTAAACAAAATAGTTAATTTATTTCGATTAATCGATAAATCATTATAGCGTTTGTTATTATTTTATAAATTCCATTTTCGTCTTATGGAAGATCGATTTGAATTCTCTGTTTTCAGGCTACAATTGTTGTAACTTTATTTACAGGAATAATTTTAAACGAAGACGCATGACATTGACCACTTCACCGGTATCTTATCACCTTTATCATCTCTTTACATATAGCCAAGTTATCTTTAGTTTCCAACCTACGTGTTTCGGCTTCATTGTTGCAAGCTATTATTACAACGAGGTTACGACGACGTAGACCGTATGTGCAGGAGTGTACGACACAACCCACTCCCCTATTGTTAGGTATTGCTACATCAGCTCACCGGTTAATCCTTAACGAGATAAGTTCACGGTTCAAAACAGTGTCGGCGAAATAGAAAAGAATTATATTGTTATATGTGTGCTTAGTGGAAAAAAAAAAAAAAAAAAAAAAAGCGAATGAAAATAGGAGAATTATAGAATCCATTTTTGTGGTATTTTGATTGAATATTTGAGAGTGGACCTTATATAAATATTATCCATACTAGTTTATATTTATATAAAATTTATATAAATAATAAGGAGTTTATATATATTTATGTTTGGAGAAATCCTTACAATCCAAAATCCTTCGTAAAATTCTCAACGCACCTTACTTTGTCACAAATAAAATCATCCATAAAGACCTTAATGTTCGATAGGTTTCCGATTTGGCACAATCCAGATACCTATCCTTCCATAACAAACTGCAGAACCATCCGAATCCTCTCGTTTCAAACTTTGCTTCCTCCTCGATCCCTGATAACCCTCCGAGGCGTCATGTTACCAATGTCACATTTACTTGTTGTATTTTCCATGTAATACAGTTGTAAATTTCATTAAAATAAAAAAAAAATAAAAATATTTGAAGTATGTTATCATAAGTGGACATCTCAATTTGTACCTTTGTTTGTTAATAAATAGTAAAAACTGATTTTTTGAGATTCTAAGTTTACTTGAAAACGCAATGTTTCCATTCATTATTCTAAGGGAAGAAGTGGAGCACTTAAGTACTGGTTTGGGAAACTGCATTTGGGACTTGTTCATTTTGGTTCCCTCCTTATTTATTTTTGTGTGTTTTTCTTTCGTGACCAACCTCCCTTCCTCCCCATACACTCCTCTATCAGGCCTAACTTCTCTCAATAAAATTACATGACTAAGATTAGCAATATAACCAGATTCCATTAATTTTTTTTGCAAAACAATATTAAGACCATTCCTAATGTATGTTCATGAATTGTGGTGCATATTATCCTGTAAAAGTATAAAGAATTACACAATAAGGCTCCAAGAATCAAAAATCGTAGACACTCTGTACTTATAAGAAATTGTCAATTAATATTACATGATATGCTATATTGAATTGATCGAAAAACATTCGATTAAATTTATTTCAAGTTATCCACAGTAAGTGGTTCAGAAGCTTACGACAGATATTATCCTCCCAATCTCGTCTTTTATGCTATACGGGGTTTTCTCGGGCCAGAGGGTGAGGGCGGAGGATTAATACCCGAGTTAAAAGCCCTCCCGTGCATGGGGACGCGAATTTTTTTCTTTTCATAATTTTTTTTTAATAAATTTAAATTTCTTTTTTCAACATATACATTTTTTTCCGTTCTGTTCTATTACCGACTATAGTTTCGTGTCTTAATAATATTTCCTATTTCCATTATTATTAAATTACTATAAACATTTTGATCCGTTAGGGACGTCATGAGAACCAAATTTAACAACAATTAAAAAGATAATGAACAGCTAAAAACTCATGTAACTCACCGATCAGGAAATAAAAATACACACCAAACACATATATGTTAGATATAAAATTTCCTACACAAATTATATTTTTTTAATAGTTCAGTATGCGTGAGTCTGACTATTTGTAACTAATAAATTATGCTCTTATTCCTTACTTTTAAAAAAAAATTATTCGAATATATTATTTTATAGAACTTCCGATAAAGTATTTATTAGCTCAAAGTGTCAATTTTTTTTACTTATACCACTGTATAAATATTTCCTAAAATAACTACTTTTAAAAAAAATATTTTTATTAATAAATAATTCATTTTGCCACATTTAAGGGCATTGAATATTGAACATTGAAGCTGAGTTAGGCGTATTCAAACCAAATGTTCAATACAATAAAAAATGTAGAAAATAATAGTAATAAATAAAAAGATTTTAACAAAGACAAAACAAAAACAAAAGAAATTTACCGTGAACTGATATAAAATAATACAGGAATTCTTAGAAGAAAAAAAAATAAATACAAATGAATAGATAGATGAAACAAACGAACAAAACTAACAGTCTTACTTAATTACAACAAACTGAATGTTAAATGAACATAACGCGTTCTTCCAAATATTCTTTTTCCTGCCGTTTGACCTATTACAATTTAGTTTTTAAGTATTAAAAATAAGTCTAGCTTGTTTCTATTGTTAGGGAGCGTGAGTCATTCCTATATCATGCACCTTGAGAGAAGCAAGAGTACTTCAACCTTGTAGGTGTTGCTCTACACTCAAACCTTTCCCTCCTGTTTGGATAATATCTGTAATACCGTCATAAAATACTGCCTGTATTGCAATAAAACGGCATTATACCTCTAATTTCTGGCCATCAATACCCCTGACTGTTAATTACTTCTACTATAAAACGAAATGTTATGAAAGATAATTCTGCCTTGCACAAATACATAATTACACATTTATATTCTTCATCTTCTTCCATAACTGTTCTTATAACTATTTGATTTTTCTATTCCGAGGAGTGTGTGTAATAAATAATTTCTAGTACCATAAACGTTAAATATTTTTTTATTATTATTATATTAAAATAAATATTCATAATATTCGTCCGCTATTTAACACGGAGAGGTATTTGGTATTTTATTTTTAGTTAATTAATTTATTTTTTATTGAATAATAATAATACAACCTGCCACTTTTGGAGAGAAATAATTATTAAGGCTAAAAGTGTCCACTCATACGATGTATACAAAAAAATAAAAATGACTGCAAATATTAAGAGAAAATAAATAAATAATAATAACACTTTCATACCTATATACAATATTCACATTCGCCCAGGAAATCCCTAGCCACGCTCTGTCCTCCACATGTGGAAGGCAAAGCAAGATTCCAGGAGTTCCCAGTGCGTCTCTTACAGCCGCGTCACTGGTATTGGAAGCCAGTGGGGACTGAGAGATGGCACTAAAATTTCAGTATTAGACGCCATATTTTACTCTTAGTGTCATCTAGTCATTGACTTTGTCCGTAATCACGAAAATTAATTTTTTATTGTCTCTAAATCCCTATGAGTGCTTACGATCAGCCAACGTCATGTATGGTATAAATAAGATATACAACAATTACAAAACATTTTAACTTACGTTAATTCTATTGCAGTATTAGTAGATTCTGTGCGATTCCTGTTTTAGGGATAAATCATGCCGAGACTAGTTTTCTGAAGTGAAAATTTCTTTAGGCACGTATTATACTTTTTTTGTGGAGAGTGAATTAGCTTGAATCGTCAGATCTCCGATGTGTAACTCTCTGGTAAAGTCAGCTGGAGTCGACTTATTGAAGTATCTCGAAAACTAAAAATCGGACCTGCACACTGTAAGCGGCGAGGGAACTGTTCAGCATTTCATCCCCTCTGGACTATTATTCAAAACTGTATCTTAACGCTAGGCCGTGCTAGGGAGACGAAAAGGGAAAACATAGTGTCGAAAACCAAATGATAACGAGTTTTATTAAAGATATTGATTAAAATATCTCAGAAATTTAAAATCGGACCTGCACACTGTAAGCGATGCAATTGTTCAGCATTTCATCCTCTTTATAACGGGCTATTATTTATAATTTATATTTCATATTATTAATCTCTCCTTCTTTATGTTTTCTCTTTTATCGTGTAGTCTAAAGCACAAACCTTAGTTTTGTTTTTTTGGTCAATGACATTTACAAAACCGATCTAATTTAAAGCGAACTGTTCTGTGAAACTTATATTCATTTCGTTCCTACTTTTGTATTTGTATTGTATTAGGAAATTTTTATGGTGACATTTTTAATATAATATACAGTAGCGTTCACCTCTTATATTCTTGAGGAAAATGTTTATATTTCAGAAAGTTATATGACTATCACAACTAGTAAAATGATAACCGACACACACACACACACACACTTCGAATCCTATCTCGAATCAAATCACATCTCTGCAAAATAAGAAAATTGTATTCTTTGAATAACTACTTTCGAATCATAGATGGTTTTATGTTTTACAACAATAAATGACGATGTAATTTATATAAACTTACTTAAAAAGTTTTGTTCCATCTGAAATGTACTTGATGAGTTTTTGCAATAACCCGTTGATTTATACATATTTTCAGTTCTTTTCTAAGTAAAGTGTCAGACGTATGTTTTGTTTCTTTACCATTAATGCATTAATTACTTGATACTATTACCATTTCTTAGTTATTATAATCGTCTGTTCTTACTTCACGAATTGTCAGTTTTTGGGTAGCTTAATTATAACAAAAGTATTTTTTTTTTTTATTACTTCACATGAATTGATAAGTACTACGTCATAAAATCATATAATAGATTATAATAATATTTTTAAAATTAAAGTGTTTTATTTATTTATGAATTAAGCAAGAAGATAAAAAGTTATTATAATACCTAATACCCGAACATAAAATTACTAGTCCGCTTAAAACATTGAGTCGATCATGCCTACCTACCCTCTGGGACTGGAAATAGCGTAGCGACTTCACCCGCATGTGGAACGAAATACTCTTATGATCGAATGAATCAGATAACCCACATATCATAGGGGTAATATTTAATTAACTCTAATGGCTTCCGAATATTATAATAACCGCATTTGATCTAATTGGTAATAGCGATGTTCATACACATAATATGTTTGTTTTACAATTATGTATGTTAGAAGAGTTGTTTTATATACTGCGGCTAAATGCTTATGGTCCATGGTACAGACCCCTTTTTATCGAATTATTAACATTAACATTAACAACTAAGAGCACAAAGAATTTTTTTCTATAATTGATCTTTTTGTAGTTGTTTTTTTTTTATTCAGTTAGGATAGGGTTATGAGCTAAGGAAAAAATAAGGAAAAAACCAATTATAGATTTTTCATAAGTATCAGCAACAGAATATTTGTAAAAAAAAAAAGAAATAGAATCCATACTAATTTAACATGCTTTGTGAATCCGATAAATTGAAACTTATTTAAATAAATTCATGCTCTGACGAGTTCAAAGAAAAGTTTACAATTTTCAAGGTAATATTTTATCTGAAATATAATTAAAAAAAGAAAACTTTTG